GTTTTTTTTTATTGGTCTTATGAAGTATTCTAATTTGTTGAGATAGTGAATTGGTGGGTTTTTGTTAAATGTGAGCCAAAATCATCACAAAAGAAAGAACCAAAGACTTAAACTACTTCAGTCTGTGTGCACTGAATGTATTTAATACACGAGTTTCACAATTTGAGTGGAATTCCTGAAATAAATTAACTTTTCCACGACATTCTAATTTATTGAGATGCACCTGTATATATATATATATAAATTTATCAGTCTGGCGAGTAAACTAAAAAATTTACTAGCCAATGGCGATTCAATTGCCAAGGTGATCGTAGAGGGCTGTATATTCCATATATTATATAACTAATCCCACATCCACAACCCTTATGCAAGAAAGAATGTTGTGGTCCACATCAGTTACAACTATGGGTGCTTCTCAACAGAAGGCTCGGCTGCCACGTCATCAAATGTCACTGAAGGCCATCTCAATCGTAAATACCCTTGGAAGGCAGCCTTTGTTTTGTGTCCTTCATTCAGCTGAATTTGAAGGATGCATGGGATGTATCCTTCGCGACCTTCAATCACCCACAATCCTTTCTACACTTTCCAAAACATGAAAATAAACCGACAAAAAAACAAGTCAGTACTGAGCTTGTCTGAATTTATTATGAAATGTAAGACAAAAATAATGTTTTTCGACATGAAAGCTTAGATATTATCTTTTGTTTTGGTGTAAATTACTCTTAACACTAAACTGCCAATAATGTAAAGGTGACAATACACGGGGCAACTTTTTGAGCAATGTTACACTGGGCACTTACAATGGGCACTTTCCCATTGAGAATGGGCAACAAATTTCTATCTAAAGGCTGATTTATACTTCTGCGTCGGACCTACGCCGTAGGCTATGCATCAGTTTTCATTTATACTTCTGCGTCGTTGTCCGCATCAACGTGCAGTGCACATGCAAACCGCTAGTCTGCAGTGTACACGGGCATGTTGCTGGTGTAACCCGCAGTACCACGGTAAAAGCCGAAGAAGAAGCGGCTCGTCGGAGAAGCATTAATAGCCGTGACGGCGGCAAATAAATATCAAATCATTAAATCATTATTTAAAACTACAAAAAGCAACTGAACAGGAGATGGCGGCATACTTTCAATCTCCACAAGGACTTGTTCCACGGCTTGCAGTCCGCGTAGAATTGACGCGCCGTTAGATTTTTGGAGAGGTGCACGTCAGGCTATGGCGTAGGCTACGGCGTAGGGTGTGCGTCTATGCGTAGGCTATGGCGTAGGTTCGACGCAGAAGTATAAATTGGGCTTAAAGCAACATTTCTCTGCGACACTGCCCAGCAACATTGCTCGAAAAGCTGCCCCGTGTATCATCACCATGCAGCCTCGGTAGGATGCAGCCTTTCGTTTGAGAAGCACCCAATATTTGGAATAAACTTTAAAAGATGCGTGGCTTGGTGGCCTCCTACAGGTCCATTAATTTATGAAAACACTGGGTCTGGAGAAGTTTTTGGCATGCTTAAATATGCAGCATCTGGTCTACATACTAAACTCTTCACATGATGAAGAGGGACACCTCTGGCTTTTATGCACTTTCGACATATTCCTTCAATAGGAGTGAACGTGTCATCAACAAACCTTTGTTGTTGTAGCAAACACGCACTGTCTGCACAGCCATTTGTCATCAGAGGCAATGACACTGGGGTCGATTATGGGAGCGTGGCATAGCTGATGGTATCCTATGGAAAAGATATTGTCTGCGGTGAAATAGGGAACTCAATCCCTAATATCATTGAGTGAAGTGACTCAGATTTAGTAGGATAGTGGAAGTCTACCTTGTCCACATTTGTCACAGATAACTATTTCATTGGGGGGCTCGGAGCTTTCATTCTGGCATATAGAGCAGAGCATTTCCCCTCCACTGTCCCCTGAAAGAAGGAACAAAGAAAATTAACAAGTGTGCAGGTGTATGCGACTGTTTTATCCATTACAGCTGGGAACAGTGGGTCTCATTCATTAATAATTGCATGGATTATTTCATATTTGTACACACAGGAGAACTTCTCATTAAAAAAAATTCCACCTAATTTAAAAGACGTATGTACGCAAATGAATTTGTTCATAACCTCATTCCAATGTTTTGGAAATTTGGAGCATTCTAAATAAGCGACAGGTTAATAAGCGTGCCAGAGGTTGGCCATCTGAATAAAATCCGCTCTAACCATCTCCATATAAGGGCTTTATGAATAACCTTTCTTTTACAGCCTTTAGTCACTCTAGATCCTTGCCTTCCTAAAAAGCAAGTTAAAACACAATAAACGTCTTTTATACAGACTCAAATTACAGGCCTCTCATTAGCCAGCTGTACATACACATATATCTGCTTGGTTATTTAGAGAAACCTTGAAGCTCAACAATTTTACACAGCTTTTCTTATTCTTTCATTTTATATGAGAAAATATATTTAAGACAAAATATAAATTTCATCTTAGCACCCAGAGTGTGCTTTTTGCATATGTGGTTTCAGTTGTCCCAACATTTTTTTTATAAGTTTAGTACAAAAGTTTTAGGTGAATCATTATTTGTTTGTGAAAACATTTATATGCAAACTTATGCGCATGCATACTTAGTGAATGAGACCCAGTGACTACATTTATGAGAGGTGGAGAGACTGCTTTTATTGGGTCTAAAAGTGACTAAAGGGGGTTGTTGTTCCAGAACATTTCTGAACTTCTAATGGAAATTGTTCAAACCACTTAAGATCACAAAAGGAGGAATAGTATTTGCCAGCCGTCACTGATGGTGAACACCACCATAAAATACTTCACTGCAACTGCCACTTGAAACAAATAAGAACTAAAGACAAAACTATGAGAACATTTCTTTAATGCGTATGCATTAACGCCTTTGTTGAATTGTTACCAAGAGATACAGCGACAGATGCCATAGGTACCTTCCCTATTCTTGTCTCCTGGCTCGATGTGGGACTTACGGTTTGTGTAAGCCCGGAGACTCTGAAGTCTGTCAACTGTCAGGGACAAATTAAGAGATAACTCAGGCTGAATGAAAGAGATAGGGAAGAGAAACCAAAAGGCGGCAAACAGCAAAACCACAAGTCAGACAGCATGAAAGCAGCAGCATAATAGAAGAACTGACCAATCTTCTATTAAAATGATCAGAAGGAAAGTAGAAATATTTTATAGAAAAAGAGAACCAGTATTAGAATCAGTCAGTGGATTTTGTGCATAAATCTAAGTCAGGACGTTCAAGATCTCATTATCAAACCCACCTCAGAGATGCCATCAAGACACAATAGACTGGTAACAGGGCATCAGCATTTTTTTAAATCAAAAAGAATATAAAACAGTTTGAATTTACCTGTCTGAATGTCCTTCCACAGAACCCAAGATTTAGATTGATCTTCAAAAATCACAAAGCAGCGATGCTTATGTTTATCTATCTGTGGAAAGCATAAATTAAGAGAAGTTCTGATTACTCTCTAGATAAACAACCTTTCTGGTGATTATAGTACAATTAAAGGGTGTATTAATTAGGGATGGGTCACGATTTTCGAATATTCAACTAGTTGATTTAATTACAGAATATCGAATAGGCTGTGCGATTATAGTCTAAAAAAAATCCCCATGTTTTCGGTGGTGACGTGTTCATGTAACCAGTGTGGCGCCACCAATAACGCACCTAGTCGACTCTCGTGCCTTTTTTTTTGCATTTAAATCTTTATTGCAAGCAATCCTGCAGTTCATAACAAACATTGTTTTCATATTTCCACGAGTGTATCTATTATTGCCTTGTTTATCTAAAAGTGCTCTTTTCCTTATTTTAAACATAGCCAAAAAAAGCCATAGGCCTGTGTGTTGTCTGTGAAACACAGTACACTTTAATTTTATGCATTTATGGTGTAATTACTACACTTCCGTGTCAATCCATGTTCTTTTTTACTGCAAACATTGCGCTGTCACTTTAATTCAGCACGTGCAGCACAGCAAAAACAGACTCGATGCGGAAACATCATGCTCATTTTTTAAAGTTTGTTATTATACAGATTGAAAGCGTGAATGGCCTCTCTCCCACTCTCTCTGTTTATGGTAGCCTATCCACCTTTTTCTTCAATGCGGAAGTAAGCCTATGGGTGAGAGTTCCGGTTCATTAGCCGCTATAGGTAAATAACGAGGAGAATAACAACGTGCAGTAAACGGTAAAACTGTTTGCACTACAAACCAGTGTGTTCATAATTAAGATAATACATTAAAATAATATGATAAGACACACCAACTTTCAATATCAAGCAGCAAAACAAACTGTTTTGTTCTGCTAAAAATAGCTGGACGGAGTGGACGCAGATGAGACCAGAAGCCAGACCCATAGAATTTACAAATGGCCGCGCCCATATTTACGACAAGAAAAAGGTGGATAGGCTACATGCGTGCATATGGGGGAGGGGTGCGATTTTCGAATAATAATCGAATAATACCCAGCGATTATCAAATATTATTTTTGCTTGAAATGCCCATCCCTAGTATTAATGTCGACCCACTACAAGGCGAATAACAACATTTAGAAACCTTAATTTGAGGCAAAAAAGTATTTGAATATTAGACAAAAAGACAGAGGTACAAGACTGTGTTCTAAATGGCTTTAATGAGGAAAAGAACTACAATCCCAAAAAGCACTGCAAATGACAATCAAATTAAAAACGTCAGTTATAAAACTATTGATTTAAGATGTTGATTATATATGTAGCAACAATGTATTTTATGTATATTGCAAAATATGCATATGCAGACAAATATTTATTTTAAAAGGGCAGGGAGATTGACTACTGCGTCATTCACAGTGCTTCATGGGAGTGGGTGGGCGCTACAGAGCTTTCTTGGTGTGATTTAATGTTTAGTGAATCTCTTATTGGTGGATTATTTTGCAGAATCATGGGTAATGTAGTTTTCACCTGGAATTCTGCTGTTAAACAATTATTTTAAAAAAACAAGCTGAAATTTGCAAACTCTTGTCTTCAATAAAAGCATATACCATTGATTAACAACCTCGTACCTCACATTAAGTCTGTATTTAACAGTTTATCTTTATTGTTTAAAATGTATTTCCCTATAGAGAAAATGGGATTTTTACTTCTAGAACCCATTTGATGGACTCTTTAACACAGTAGAGTACATGATAATTGATAGGTCATGCATTTTTGTATAACGGCCACTAAACTGTATGAATGACTGTTGGCCCAGGCAGACGATTTACTACATAGCTGTGATACTTTTAATTTACAGTATGCTGTCCATTTCTTTTTATATAATACACTCAAAACAACACATTTGAGTTTTATATTTTGATATAATTATCATCCGATTGTACATTATCTCTTACACACCTTGGAGATAATTCCCAGGTAAAAGAGGCCATCTGACCATCGGGCCAGGACGTCCTGCCCTTCTTCAAACTTGCTGGCGAGTCTGGCTGTGTCAGTCAGCCCATCTTTCAGGGGAAATTGTGACAAGGGCACCGGTGACTTGTGTTGGTGATTTGGAGTTGACTTTTGATGGGCGGCCAGGTTATCTGCACTTGCTAAGTCTCTATCAAATGAGCAAAACACCTCATGAAAAACATGATTCAACCACACTTTTGCTTACACCAACGCAAAAAAGTCAATTGCACATGCTCAAATAAACAAAAAAGGTTGAAAATGTAGTATCAAACTACCCTGGTGCAGGTTTTAGAGGTATTTCACATGTAAAAGCAGTGTAGGATATTTTTAGGACTGAGTGCACTTTGTATTGCCTGGTCAGTGAAGCGCCCAAACAGAATGACAGAGGAAGCAAAAAGCCTCTTTTGTTAGCAGCATAGCTGGAGAGAGCTAACAGGATTTCTCATTCAAAACAATGTGACTTCAAATAAAAGCCTCCCGTTCAAAAGCCTAAAGAGTTTGTTTCATTGGAATCAGAAAACGTATGTTTGAACCCAGTAATTTTTACCTGCTGGAAAGTGAGAGATGAAAGCCCCCCGCACACCCCCTTGTTTTATTGTAACAGATTGAATCCTGTCTGTATCTGTCTTACCTCATTCGGCCACTTTCCCGGGTTACAATGCCTCACAAACACAAAAAACTACACCATAAACGGTCAGCAGGAGCTCCGCTGTAAATCGAGGTGGTGCTGCTTGTGCAAGATGAATCTAATGTATTAAGTGTTTTACACTATGGTAAACAACTGATTTGGCTCACACGCTCTCGCCATTTTGGTTTCCCGCTGAGCGGCGAGTGCATTGTGGGACGCGCTCGCGCTCGGACTCACTTTCCCTCACAAATTTGAAAAAGCGTTAGTGGGAGGATGTTTACCTCACTCACACCGTCACTTAACTGCGCTTCCGCATGACTATTTTGATTTCAGAATGTGACTTCAGAATGTTTTAATTTTGATCAATGACAAATAAGTATGTCCGAATATAAAAAGCCATATTTTAAAAATAGAATTTAAAACGCATGATCCAAACTCTTAAAATGTCATCTTTATATTAATGTTAGTTTCATGCATTAAAAAAAAAAAAAAACTTTATTAAAATGTTCACCAAAATTTTGATTAAATTACTTGGCTGTAAATGTAAAGTGTAACCATCAAGTTAAAAGCATTAAAATACTAGAGGCATACAGTGAAACTTTAACCATTATTTTACATTTCTTAAAATATATTAATAAGTAATGATTCATGATTCAAATATTTGATATTTAAAACCCCCTCATGAGAATTTTAATGTGTCCACGCGGTTTTATTGTGTCTCATTCATAATATTTTAAAATTAAATTGTTTTAATAATAGTAAAAATTATTTAAAACTAGCCTAATTGTGCCAACAGTTTTTTAAAAGTTTTTTTTTAATACAATAAAAAAATCACTGGTCAGTTAGACCAACACATTTTGGTCAAGTATTTGTATTTGTAAACAATTTAATTGTGTATGGATTAGGCTATGCATTTTAGTCCAGGAGTTTATTATTACCTTCAAATATCCTTTTTTAATCACAAATAGGACATGTCAGCTTGTTAAGAATTTACCATCTCTTATCATTATCTTATCACCATCTTATATATAGCCTAACTGCAGCTAGCTAAAATATAATTCAACGTAGGACTTATCAACATTTTTGTTAGTGTTTTGGTTGTAATATCGGCTTAAAGGAAAGATTCAATATAACATGAATGTAAAGACCTGTGTCTTAAAAATTTTGAATGGCTAACATGCAATATAACACATGGCCACCAGCTTTTCCTGAAAAACATGCATTGCAAACAGATGACAATCTTACTGCTAATTTTCAAAGGTATTACAATATGGTGAGTGCAATATTGTTTTAGACCTTTAAAGACAGTTTATAAACAACTTTTAATATAAACCCATACATATAGCACTATATTATTGTGTTCTTCTAGTCTGCTTGATGTATCATTACGTTCCCATATCGAAGGGTCTTTGCCCATAAGCTTTTAACACGTTTATGTGGAAACTCCTGTTTACTCTGATACTGAAGCCTGATTTGTTCATCAGAATCAGAATCAGAAGCAGAATGAGCTTTATTGCCAAGTATGTTTACACATACGAGGAATTTGTTTTCGTGACAGAAGCTCCACAGTGCAACAGAATGACAGTGACAGGACAAAAACACAGATAATAAAAGAAGAAAAAAAATCAGAACAAGTAAATAGGGAATAACAATATACAAATTGACAATTGTATGTACAGGTATATTACAATAGACAGTTTTGTATGTACAGGTATATTATGTGCAAGTTTGAAATGTAAACTATGTGTGTTAGATAAATAAGTGTATAAGTGTATAAAAAGTGTTGTGTGTATAAGTGTATAAATAGTGTTGTGTGTTCCACAATTATTGTCAAGTGTTCATAAGATGAATTGCCTGAGGGAAGAAACAGTTCCTGTGCCTGGCCGTTCTGGTGCTCAGTGCTCTGTAGTGTCGACCAGATGGCAACAGTTCAAAGAGGGAGTGGGCTGGATGTGAGGGGTCCAGAGTGATTTTCTTAGCCCTTTTGCTCACTCTGGATGAGTACAGTTCTTGGAGAGTAGGGAGGGTTGTACCAATGATTTGCTCAGCAGTAACTGCACGAACAAATTTGTAACTGCACGAACAAATGACGCTTCAACCCACGGATTAAAAAGAGCACATTTGCTGAGCAAATTTCACAGCGACGTTGTTGCAAATGTCACAATGCGAGTGTGGCTCATGCAAGGAACCCCTGCATAACACAGACAGGCACAGTGAGTGTGTCGCTTGCCTAGGCAGTGCCCAGGCTGCACTCACTGGGATTGAATGCTCTCAATGCTCTTGTCCTGCTTCGCTCACGGATCACCTTCTTTCACAAAGGCAATCCTCCCCAGCCTGCTCTCCCATTTCCTCCCTCCCATGAGCCTCGGAGGAAGAAACAGCGGAGCAGCGGGGTTCAGTCAGGCTTGAGTGTACTCACGCCGGCCCAAGGCCTGTGTGCTTCACACATGTGGATCAGTGCCCCTCGTTGGCTGCGAGCGGCTTAATTACCTTCGGTGGATCTGAGGAGGAAGTTGTCACTGATGACTCTATGTCACTGACACCTTCTGACACATAGTGGGCGTGTTCCAGCGAAGATCCTGACACCCACCCTTCATCTCAACCAACACGGCTCAGTGCAGACTGCGAGCTGATCTGCGTTCTCATCAAGGCTGTAGAGGATAGCTATATGGCCTAGCTTGATCGGCTCCAAAGGAAGAGGAGAGGGTCAGGTCCCGCCGAGGCTGGACTTCCCTCAAAGAAAGCTTGTGTCTGCTCTCCATTCCCCACTAGCTCTGTTCAAATTTGACCCGCCCTTCAGTGCGCTCCCAACAAAATTACCGCTGTAATAGCAGACACATATACTCAAAAGAGCATTTCTCCTCTTCTTATTACCACAAATGTCAGTTTCCCGCCTCCGTGTGGCGACCTGTCAATCGGGAAACTCAAATCGCTTGCCACCCGGCTTCAGGCTTGGAAAGCCATTCCAGATGTGTCAAGCTGGGTTCTAAAAACCATAGAACGAGGTTACTCACTCCAGTTAGCTCGCAGGCCACCTCACTTCAGAGGTATTATTTAAACTTCACATTCGGACCCTTCAATATTGGCTCAAAGCCCATGTCCCTCCCACTCTTGGTGCCTGGGACGTTTTCATCTCAAGGTAACCCACCGCTGCATCAGAGCTGTTTCAATCAGGTGCTTTTTCACTCTTTCAACTTTAATTCTAGTACACCCCCAAAACAAAATCAAGACTTTGTAAAAGAGCATAATAGGACCCCTTTAACCTTTCTGCAATAGCTGCTAGATAAGGGGCGCATCCCTTCCACCCTCAAAGTATATGTGGCAGCGAATCATGCTCTTGTGGCTGGCCAGTCAGTCGGCAAAAACGTTGCCGTTAACAACCTTGTTGTTAAGTTTCTAAGGGGAGCTCGGAGACTTAATCCACCTCATCCTCATACTGTGTCGACCTGGGACTTATTTATAGTCCTAAGTGCCCTACGGTCCTCCCTTTGAGCCGCTCCAGTCGGCCGACTTGCGGCACCTGTCACTCAAGACCGCCCTCATTTTGGCATTAGTAGGTGTAGGTGACCTCCAAACACTGTCAATCAGTGCTTCGTGCCTTGAGTTTTGGCCTAACGACTGTAAAATCGTCCTCAAACTGAGACACGGCTATGTGCCTAAGGTGCTCTCAACCCCGTTCAGAGCATAGGTTGTTACCCTTCTCACTCTTCCTAATTCAGAGGATGAGCAGGGTCTGCTTAATTCACCTAATCCCCTCTGAGTGGAAAGGGTTCTGCTATGTAGTCCCCAGTCGGGTGGCTTGGGTCTCATAAAAAGCTCATGCTTTTTAGGAGCCCTCATTGCGGGCGCTCCGTGGCTGGGCTCGCAGAGCGGCTTAGTTCTGCACTTGCGTATAGCACGGTGTTATTGGATGCGTTCCCCATAAGCGTGTTAAAAGCAACGTGAGAGACCGTTCAATAGGGAATGCTCTGGTTACTAACGTAACTTCAGTTCCCTGAGGGAACGAGCGTTGCGTAAGCTGCCATGCTATAAGACTGCACGCGAGTCGATGGCTGTTGCTGACATTTAAAAGATTCTGACGAATGGCGCTCTGAGCCAACTTATATAGCAGTCGGCTGCTCCCCTTTTGGTGGGTTGAAGCGCCCTTTGTTTGTGCAGTTACATGAATGTGAACAAATCAGGCTTCAGTATCAGAGCAAACAGGAGTTTCCCCATAAGCGTGTTAAACGCAACGCTTAACTCAAGCAAAAATGGTGCATTGTACTAGCCATCATGCTACCAAGCCTTTGATGAAAGTTACCAGTGTAGTCTTTACATTGGACAGCATTGAAAAATATATAATTAGCTTTTTTCTAACACAAATAATTTAAAATAATTTATTAAACAACTGAATGTTAAATATGTCTATTTATTTTTCAATGTAAAAATTATTTGATAATTTAATGATCAATTATTTTATTTAACCATATTAATTAAATAAATTAAATTATTACAATTAAATAAACAATTTTAAAATGTGTATTAATTTGTACATTTAAAAAGTTTTTTTTAATTTTATGTTTGAATTATATTGATTATTTATTCCTTTATTTTATTTTTAACTGTCACCATAGTCCTCCATATATTAAGGGCCATTAATGGGAATGGAACCAGACTTTGCCCTTTCAAATTCAGCATTGATCAGCTTAAGCCTTGAGAAAGATTTATTTTGAGACCTTTGACCAAAGCTGGTTCATGGCACAATGCACATTCTGTATTTTCCCTTAAATATCATAGCCTTTATATCAGTGCTATTTTAGTATCATTGAGATACTATTATAGTTTTTATTTATATTCTAAATTAGTTTTTATTTTACATTTTCCATTTTCGTTGTAATTTTAGTTAGGCTTACATTTTTTTGTAATTTTGTTGTGTGTTTTTGTAATGTTTATTACTTTTTTATTTCAGTTATTTTAGTACATCAAGTTCAAAGTAAATGAAAATTGTTGCCTTGGCAACTTGCTGAAATAAAATGTGTTTTTACATATTTTATTTCAAGTAACAAACATGTATTTTTATGGTTTTAGATATAATAACCCTGATGTACAAGCTTGAATTAATCTTGCATAATAAAACACATTTCAGTCCAAAACACTTTCAAGATAGACATTGGGCAAAAATAAAAATTTAAATAGCTTCCAAAATGCTTCCAAAAAACAAAAGACTCTTTCAATACGTACAATTCAGGTCTATATTTCCTTTAAGAATATAACTTTAAGCCTGTACAGTAATAACAATAAAAAACTATATAGACAGCGCGCAAAGACATTGATTGTACATGCTTATGTGCTGCAACTTGCATTTTTTAATGATTAGGTGTTCGTACTCGCAAATCATACCTCACAAATGTATTATGTGTATATAGAGGGCGCCAGTAAACATGACGCACAGCTCGCTCAAGAGAAAAAAGCACAACATTAGATCGGCAGAAATTGCGTACGCTTGCGTCCTTGACATACTGCTGTCTCGCTATTTTAAAACAGCTGCACTTGAAAGCGTTAGCCGCTGGATGTCAACCAAGACGACTCGGATAACATGAATTCTTAATATATAAATTCTCACAGTAGCCTTCGTGGAGTCTAATAATATGTAAGGATATCGGCTGGCCGTGAGCACCGTACACGTCATGTGTAGCGCGAGCCAAATCATTTGAAGTTCGCTGTACATTTCGTTTTTTTATTCGGCTTACGGAGACTCTGCTCTTGATAGCTCACGTTTTTGAGATGATCAATTTCTGCAATGGCGAGGGGTCTGTTTTCACGGGCCTGGCTGTCAAAGACCTACCACTTTCAGGTAACAATCCTTTTGCAATTTATTATGCATTATTGTTATGATGAATTATCTCTACGTCTCAGCGAATGCTTGGTGAGAATGAATTTTCGCAGCAGTGTGGTTGACCTTTAAGACCGAGATATTTTTTTCTTATCTTCAATTTATATATTTTGTTTTTAATGAGGTAAAAACGTGGTGCAGCTGCTGTAATCTGCTTTGAATCTATCAGGTCTTGATTAGGCTAGTAACCATAGTCACGGTAACTAGCTTTTGAACTCGGGACAGTGGTTTCAAAATATGTTTTTGACGTCAGAGACATATGGTGAGAGAATTGTTCTTATTTATGGAAATAATTCCTCCATTTACTCTTGAGATGAATCCCCTTCACTGGATGAAGTTAAACTGGGTCTGTGGTGCCATGGCAGCCTGCAGCCCTGCACAACTCCACAACAGGACCAAGGAGCTTAAACAGAAGCCAGGTGTAGAGCAGACATGTGAAATATTTTAATATTTTGCATGTAAAAGGTTTAATCATTGTTTATGATTTATATGAAAACTAGAGGCATTCATATAAACATTTAAAATGGCAAACTAAATTTGAAAGCCATTCATTCACATGACCAAATGGCTTTAAATATGGAATTATTGGAATGTCAAAAAATGTAAAGATCACCTTGTGTGAAAAAATATAGTAACAACTGACCCATATATTAATTTAGATTTAAAATATTAACCACCAAGGTTAATATTTTAGGGTTATTATACACAATGTAATTAAGCTAATAAAGAATAAGAGTTCAGATTTAGGACCTTGTACTCTGCAAAAGCTGATCAGTGAGCATATAATATATTATATACACAATACCGTTCAAAAGTTTGGGATCAGTAAGATTTGTAAGTTTTTTTTAAGTCTCTTCTGCTCAGCATGGCTGCATTTATTTGATCAGAAATACAGAAAAAACAGTAATATTGTGAAATATTATTGCAATTTAAAATAATGGTTTTCTATTTTAATATATTTAAAATATCATTTATTTCTGTGATGCAAAGCTGAATTTTCAGCATCATTACTCCAGTCTTCATGATCCTTCAGAAATCATTCTAATATGCTGATTTATTATCAATATTGGAAACAGTTTTCTGCTTAATATTTTTTTGGAACCTGTGATACTTTTTTAGGATTCTTTGATGAATAAAAAGTTAAAAAGAACAGCATTTGTTCAAAATATAAATATTTTATAAATTACCTAATTATTTCTTAATAAACAGGAATTGAGCTTTGATGCACATTTTTAAGAACAGAACATTTTTCAGAAATTAAAGGCAAAAATGCCACCAAACACGCACATTTTTAATGTAACTAATAAATCACATCACTTGCTAGGCAAAGAGTAAAAATATGCACAGGTAAAATTATAATAATATATACATAATAATAAAAAGAAAACACTCCAACAAACCCAAAACTTTAATCTGTCATGGCGCTTTATAATGTAATATATAGGGTCCGTCTTATTATTTAAAATGTATTATAGCAGAGTGAATATTGTATTATGTATTATGATTGTGCATTATATGTAGAGGTAGATTTGATTTCAAATCAACAGCCATACTTGTTCAAAGTTTATTTCAATTAAAGTCAGAGTAAACTGGAAGTTGCAACCGCCTTTACTTCAGTATTGTAACATATTTTGACAAAAGATTACGAAGACAAACAATTTTTTTCTGTGGATTAACTTGCATGATGTAATTGTTTACCACAATAATGTGTGCTAACAAAGTTAATTTTGATTTCATGCTGACTTTAATTGAAACTGAATTTCATTATTTGACAAATGGATGACACTTTTTTTAATATTATTAGAAAAGAATGGCCTTTTAAAGAAAAGTTATTTAAAAGTAAATAAACACTTAATAAAAAGTAAGTTTTGAAATGTTTATTTCTGATAATGCTTACAAGAATGATGAATGTTGTACTGCACATGAACTGAAGTGAAATGACGTGGAATGGAGATTCTCGTAACTCACTTGGCAGCCACACTTCACAGCTGTATACCAAAAACGAGAAAATTAAGGTGTGTGTGGTCGAGCGAATCACATCTGACGGAATCAGCCACATGATGAATTGACTTGAGCTCAGTGCTGACAGTGCCAGAGCTGGTGTTTCCATGTGTCTAGAAAGCACCAAGCTGTTTCAGCAGAATGGTTCATAAGAACATCAGGGAGCATGTGGCATCAGATTCACGTGGTGTTGATAGACCGTTGATTTGTGGACTTTGAAAATGTCTCTTTTCTTTGAGTTGATTACAATTTTACTTCTGTAACGTAAGACGTTTTTGAACAAAACAGGATATTTAAAAAAATCTATGGCAAATTGATTAAATGCAGTTTTTTATGAGAATGAAACCAAGTCTGAATTGCAGTTGACCATGGAGGACTGCTTTCCTCCTGTAAGGCATTTTGAGGAGGCTTTTTAAAAGTTTGAACATTGGCGGCAGGTCAGATTAACCCTCAAAAACTTTTCAACATATCCCAAAGTTTATGGTAACATTTGACAACTCAATATTTTAGAAAAGCTGTATTACCTAAAGTAGCCTATAGTAGGCCTGTCACGATAACAACTTTTTGTTGTGCGATATATTACCCCAGAAATAATTGCGAAAATGATTCACCAAAAATGATTGAGGTCATGTACATATGTTGCGCGATAAGTCGATATATTGATTATTGCAACAGGCCTAGCCTATAGGCCCATTCTGACCAACAGACAATAACGTTCTGTTTATTATTGTAAGTGTGTGCTGCAGTTATGTCTGATTGGATTCTGGCTGTCAATATTTTTATCATTCATCAGCTAAAAAAATTGTTCAGAAAGTGATTTCAACGATATTGTTTATCTGTCGTTATTGTTGTGTTGTTATGGTTTGGACTCTGCTATTATTTTAAATTTAAAATAATTTTAAAACTTTATCTTCATCGTTATTGTCCTTGGTGTGAACCATGGTTATTTTAGGCCCCGTCCACATGGAGACGCGTTTAGCTGTATACGCATAGATTTTGTATAGTATAGGCCAGGGGTTTTCAACCTGTGGGGCGCCAGCACCTGTCAAAGGGGGCGCCAGCATCAGTTAATTCAGAGACATTCCCTTGAGGATTTATGAATATGAGTTAGCAAATCTTTAGCCATCCACTAGGGGGCAATCTGACTCCCACTGCTAGTCGACAGTTAGAGCAGAGTTGGCTCGAGTATCAGTCACGCTTATTGACAGTGTAAGATGATTTACGGTTAGCCGTGTCGGAAATCCAACCACGGATTGGCATGTTATCTCAGAAACAGGCTCAGCCATCACATTGAATCAGGTAAATCATATATTTATCATATATTTATTTATTTAAATCATATATTGAATCATATATTTATGTTTCAGTATAATTACGCACGCTATACCAGGGGCGGTTCTAAACCCTTTTTAGGTGGGTTTCAGCCCCCCATCTGTCACCTTAGCCCCCGAAAACTATCTTAACGATCAGGCCAGTGCTGCGTCCTCAAGAAAGTTTTTCATTCTCACGTGTTTTAAGTCTTGTCAGTTTAAACATTAAAGTAATTTTAAACCATTTAAACCCAAGACAGCTCAAAGCGGCACTCACGCACTGTGATAAAGCGTTTCTATGCGCACTGTGACAAACAGATAGCCTTCTCAGACAGCAGGTGAATACCAATGGCTGTCTTGACAAGTATCCTTGTAAGCACAGTCGGTTGTTTTAAGTGAACGTAAAAAGTAAAGAAAATATCAAATGTAACGGATCCGTGCATTTCTTATGTAAATAATGTTAATCAAAAAGAGCAAAAGAAAAATGATTAACATTAACATAAAAGCAAATATCCATTAAAGCTATTAA